GGCGCTGCTGCCGACATCATCATAGTCCGTGTTCCCAGGGCTCTGAGCTGAGAAGTCTGTTGTTGTTCCTGGGCGACATGGAGGGGAGCAGATCCCACCTTGGGGACAGCACGGAAAGGTGCCTGAGGGGGCAGGCAGCTCCGTGTCCCCCAGGAGAGACCCCACCAGGGGTCTGACCACAGCACCCATGGATCTGTGCTGGGGCCCTGCCTGCCCCCACAGCCAAACCTTGCCCTGGAGTGGCTCTGCAGAGGCAACAGGGCACCTGAGAGACCTCTCACCTGTGGGGAGGACACAGATCCCCTTCTGCTGTTCCACTCCCTCAGAGATGTCCCCAGTGCTGGGAGCAGGGGGCTCCTGTGGCACATCCAGGACATCGTCGTAGCCATCCGGGGTTCCTTGCTCGGGTCGGGCAGGGGGATCTGGGAAAATCAGAGGGGCCCATGGCAGTGACCAGTGTCCCTGGCGGGGATCTGGCTGGGCCATCCCCACCTGCCTTTCCACTGGGCACCTGCTGGAGGCCCTGTGGTCCCACAGGGAAAGGCGTTGTCTCGCTGCAGACTAAAAAGAGGGGGGGATTTGTCCGCTCAGCCCCCCAGCCCGGGTGCATCCCCTCTCCCCAGGTCTCCCTGCTGGGTTCCTGCCCTGTGGCCCTACCTGGGGCTGCCTCGGTGTCACTCCCCTCCACGCTGTCCCCGGTGTAATACGGCAGCTTGTTCTCCCAACCCTCCGACAGGGAACCTGCAGGGGACAAACAGGGACTTGGGGTTGGCCACAAGTGGCACCGCAGATGACAGATCCTCACACCACAGAGCGGGGCTGCGGTGGCACCCCTGGACACCCACAGCCCATGGCCAGGAGCCACAGCAGGGCCACCAGGACCTGGAGTTGCCGTGGGGCTGTCAGGCAGAGCCTTCACTCCGAGCACAGCTGGGGCACAAGGGCAGCACCCACCTTGGGGAGTGGGCACCTCCTGGTACTCTGGCATGGCTTTGTAATCCAGCTCCTCGTAGACAGCGTTGGAGATGGCATCTGCAGCTCTGCCAGGGCCTGGGACCAGATGAACCATTTACCTGGGACCCTGGGCCCCGTGGGTGGCACCGGGATCAGCCCTGGTCACCTTCAGAACTGTTCCACAGGACAGGAGCCCCTGGACCCCCAGACCGGATCTGTCCCCATCCCCACACACCGGGACCCACCTCGGCGCCGGGCACGGGCACGGCACAGCAGCAGGGCCAGGGCACCCAGGGACAGGAACAGCAGCGTCCCCAGCACCACGCACAGCACAGTGGGCACAGACACAGTCCCCACGGCCACTGCTGAGGGCGTTCCCCTGGGGACACCTGTGGGGACACAGGCGGGCAGCAAGGGGAGGGGGATCCCAGCCAGCCTGCGGTGGGGGATGCAGGCACGGGCAGAGCTACCTGTGCTGCTGGCAGCCTCCGGATATGGGGTAGTGTGT